AATTATGCGTTGTCGTCGATCAACAGGCGTAGCATTGCACTAGTCCTACTTCGTCGCAGTTCATACACTTGAGGGCGATCATTTCGGTGGTGAAGTGGTTCCTGTGCACAGATTTCTTGCTACCGTTGCACATCGGACAGGGCAGCAGCCTGTAACCTCCGCAAACTTGGCACGTCGTGCACGCGTCCGGACTCTGAAACCACGCGTAATCATGATGATGATATCGTATTATAAATTATWATATTTTTTATGTTGTTATCACGCTATCGAATATTGATTTGTTACACCGTTTACTGTTTAGGCGGGCCAGGTGCGGTATTTATTGATATTATACGAGATTCCTAGGATTCCATTATTAGGACCCGGTGCAGTTACGGGGCTCGGGGCGTTTCATATGTGTTTAGGGCGGTAAAACTTAAACTTCAAAGGACCACAGAAAATTGGTTCGACCATTTCGTTGTAATTTAAAAATGCCCACTAGAGATTAAATTTAATATTGTTTTAATATCCACCAACAGTCATATTTATAAAAATCCAATATTAGTAGAGGCGCATTATAGAGACGAAGACGTGTTCTTGGAACTGGAACTGGAACATATAATATATTTATGAGAAACTATTGTTAAGCCATCTAGACCGTCAAAAACMTCAACCGATTCCGACTATACGTTGGCTATAAGTTTGAGCGTCTAGTGTATCGATTTTTTGGATACAACAATAATTTATAAGCCGCACGCGCTATAATAGGGAMTAGTATTTGTCGTGTAACACACGTCTGCGTCTCAGTTGTAGGTCGACGTGTCGTTTGTCCCGACGAATCACACACACACACACACACAAGTATACTGCACACAGACGCACATCTCGCTTATTGAATTCGAGCCAAAGTCGTCGCACGTTAATGGTCCGGACGATCGCCTACGTTTTTTTTTTCACTAGTTTTCGTCGACACTTCTTACTTCCATTCAGCAATATATTATAGGCTAGGCACTAGGCACACATGATTAATGGCATATTATAATTTCACCGTACGTTAAATTATTATCTATTGTTTTTATATTATTATATTATGTTATTCCGCAGGGATTTCGGCTTCAATTACACAGACACAATATTATATTAAATATTTATACACCGGCTATTACCTATACTATTATTCCCACCATAGGCGGCACTGTCTTGGCAAACATATTAAGGGGAATGTAGAAGTTAAACATTTCAAAAACAGAAATGCAAATTGAAAAAACTAAAATCGACAAAACAAAAAAGCATTGGAATGTAGGTGCCAGGTGCGTACACTCATTAATTTTTCTTTTGCCTCTCTCGCCATGTTTTCTAGTGGTGGACGTGGCAAGCTCATTGTTTTGCTCTCTCGAATAATATCAGGAGGCAATTTCACCCCCATGYCCCTCTTCTCAAATTCCGCCTACAGCCTTATAATTTATTGTTATTCATAATTCTTTAGGATTTTAAAACAATACAATTTAAATCAGCGTGCTGTACTGGGCCGTTCTAAAGGAGATTGCTTTTGTATAATCACTTTGGTATATTTTTTAATAATACCTAATTATTATTTTTATGCCTTATCCACTGGCTTGTCGGATTTTCATAATAGACCGATGGATATTATTTTTAATTTCTACACTAGGTACCCTACATGATTCATTAAAAATGAAACAATTATTTAAGTTCGCTAGGTATRTTTTWTGATGACCGCTTAAAGTTTTCAGCAGAATTTAYTATTGAAAATTATTGTTAAATATTTTTTGTCTATACAATAATAATAATAATACCTACATATATAATATATACCAGCCTTTCGGAAATTTCGAATTTCGAAACGACGRTGACTGATATATTTTATTTACGTTTTGATTAATTTGGCTATAATTTATTTTGTTGCACCTTGTGTGTCGATAGTACAGAAATTAATTGATACCCGGTTATATGCTTTTTGAYTGCTGCACAATAATTTAATTTTTTTATCGTAAGCTGAGACAATATACAAAACGTTTTGTAAACAGACGAAGAGTAATCGCATTGTTTTAAAATATTAGTGAATGTTTTTTAATTTAAAAATGACCAAGTTCCCAAAGTCCTATAACAAATAGTCATTGTAATAATAATAGCGTGGTATACATTACGCGTGATGAAACATGTTATTAATTATTATGATTCATAAATAGAAGACTTGCATGTGACACTCCTGCAGGAAAATTAATTTATTCTTATTATTTATTATTTTTTATAACATATAAACACAAATTATGTACATTGTTGCAACAAATATTACGTTAGTACGTTACTATACCTATTATACGCGTGTTAATATTATTATTCCATTATAATGGCAGTCGACGATATTTAAATGATTATTCCATTGTAATAATATACTCCTATAACAATGGTAGATATTGTAAGTTTAATATTTACAACAGGGTAGAAATAATATATTACTCAAATTTACGTGATTCTTAAGAATAACATGTAAATATATATAGAAATATAAGGTCGTTGACCTTAAGAAAAAAAAGGTATCATAATATCCATAAATGTTATTCATCGCATAGCGCATACACACTGCGTCTATTTATAAAATGGATGGTCAAATTTTCTATTTTATAATTATTTATAATTTATGTTGGTTAGGTATCATAATGCCGTGTATTGTTATAAAAATATGTTCTACACTTTAGATTAGTTCCTAAAATTGCTCACATAATGGATTAGAAAGTGTCATAAATATTTTATAGAGGAAAACAACGGAAAAATCCTTATATTAGTTATATTATTATTTATGAAAAATTGGACCTGTCAATCAAAATGGTATTGTAAAATAATAAAAACAACACAATATAGCAATTTAAAATAATGTTTTAGGAAAAAATGCTCGATAAAATGATAATCATTAAAATTTAAAATAATAAAACAAAACTGACAAAATGGTATACCAACATTTATTAGAGATTAATATTATGTCAATGATTCAACTTATTGGCATGGGATTTATACAGAAATACGCTCAAGTGAAATTTAAAAAAAGCATGCCCACATTCATACCAGTAAGAGTAATTGTAATCGATACACTATTATTACTCTATAGTCTATATAAGCATATCATTTTACAGCAACTATTCAAATTGCAAAATGTATAAAGTTATAATGTTATATATTAATGCAAATAAAATGTATAATTATTAGTTTTATTGATTAAGAGAGATTGCTGGTAACGCTGCGCTATTATAAACTACAAATGTTTTGCGTGCATGATTCAATCACAATAAATACACAGCACATCCATCATTTTGAACCGAATTTGTTCGATGGTTCCTTTTTGTTGTGTGTTACGTATATTAGATAACATCGTGACTCGAGTTGTGAAAAGTGAAATCATTAAGCATTGTACAAATTTGAAATATTTACATAATCAACGCGTAAATTCGAGTACACAGATGCATGTATAGGTATGTATTATATATATATATATATATATATAAATATAACTTTTTGTTTGTTAGCCAGCGGCAGTATGATTGAACAACAATGGCATGGGTAATAGATATAGGTGGAGATGAAATTAAGTGAGAAGTGAGTGAGAGAGACCTTTCTGTCAGAGAGAATCTTTTCATACTAAAAACCATCGAGTGTATATTATATATATAGTAGTCCGGAATAGGAAAGTTGTATTTTGTCGCGCGCGCGTATGTGTGTGTGAGTGTGTTTGATGGCATCGGACAACAGGATATTCTTGTCTGCACCGGAAGGAACGTTCTGAATATGAAAACGGATTAATGAAACATAAATCTTTTGGCTTTACCTTAAATGGTTTTAAAATCGATCGGAGTTCCCCAGATTCGTTCAGTCTTTCTACAGCTTCTGCATCCTGAGAACAAAGTCAAACGTCGTTCAATCGTTAATCATTATCATGAACCAATAGCTATGATTATTGTAAATGGCTAATACGTATATATAATATTTTTAGATTGAACAAGACATCGATGATCATTAAATTCTAATGTCGTAAACTTTTAACAACATCGTTAGATCATAATTTGTTTAACGGTACCAATCATATATAATATGTATGTATATGCATACATATGTTTTGATACTACGCTAATTTAGTATCCTATTAAACAATAATTATAAGTATCGTATATCTATTATGYGTGTACATTTAGTATAACATTATTAGTTATAACATTGAATGATTTTTGATTTGTAAGTTTAATTTGCATTTTTCCGTTTGTAAAATGAACATAGAATTACAAAAAAGAACCTACACGAAGTCAATAACAAATAATAAAAGAAACTAAAAGCTGGTTTCTCACTAAGTTTTAATTACAATAACATCAAAACATATGCTCAAGAGGTATCTCAGACGAAAGTTTGTCGTACCGTGCAGGTTTATCATATGTAACAGAACACGAAATTCAATTAAAAATCTTAAAAAATCATGACATGGACTGTGAGTTATTAGTGGCTATAGGCTATGGTAATAAATTGCCATGAAGAGATCGTGGGCTTAAATTCCAATGCGTGAAATTAAATTTTGAAGCTCAGCGTTCCCGTTTTAAATTTTAAATGAAACACGGTACACAAAACAAAAATTCAATGTAACTAGTTTACTTATATATATAAAGGTTACAATAATAACTAGGTAAAGTTATTAATGTTATACGAAAAATAATTATATTATATTCGTAACCACTTGCATTGTGTGTATGATATTTTTAGCAATTAAATATATGAATATTAGATCTTGAAAGAAACGACAATATATAATATTAATCTAGTATGTTAT